CATAAAACTCTGCCCACATATAAAATCAAGACAAATAGAAGGTACCGACGTCATAGTTCTCCAGGTATCTGGCTCGTTCTTCAGGGCTCATTGACACAGACTCCTCTAGAAATTTTTTCAAGGTTGATCCAGATTCTGAGAATATTAAAGAAGATAAAATTAAAAAAGCTTGATATCTCAAAGAGACTGGTATATGAAAATACTAGAAGCATGCTGCCTATTTTTCAGGTAAAACCCTTTCACTGGTAAATTAGGCATGTAAGAATATTGGCCTAAATGATAAGGCTTAAGTTGTTTGTTTCTTAAACCTCCGTTTATCAACAATATAAAAGAATGAGAAGGATTATTAGTTCTTCTAACAGTATATGCATCCCCATTATAAATGAAAGAAGGGAGGAAAATATTCTGTGTAGTACTTTGAAAGAAAGAATTAGAGCACCACCTAGTGCTCAATAAGTTAGCTTATACTTTAAAGCAGCGGTTCTCAACCTGTGGGTAGCGACCCTTTCACAGGGTTCGCCTAAGACCATCGGAAAACACATATAATTACATATTGTTTTGTGATTAATCACTATGCTTTAATCATGTTCAATTTGTAACAATGAAAATTCATCCTACATGTCAGATATTTACATTACGATTCATAACAGTAGCAAAATTACAGTTATAAAGTAGCAACGAAAATAATTTTATGGTTTGGGGTCACCACAACATGAGGAACTGTATTCAAGGGTCGCGGCATTAGGAAGGTTGAGAATCACTGCTTTAAGGGATGAAAACAGCAGTAGTGAAAAGTTATTTACCAAAATGCATCTTGTCTTTATTGTTGGCAATAGCATGGATCAGTCCAATTGTTCCACAGGCATTGCTGATTGTTTGCTTCATGAAATATACTGACGATTTAACATCTTGTCCCTGAGATTTTATTTTTTCCTCCTCTTCTGTTCTGAATACTTCATACTATTAAAGAAAAAGCCAATAGTCAAAATATGAAAATAATATACTATAAAGGACTTAAACATAAAACTTCAAAAATTCTAACTGTATGGGATATCTTACTAAAATACTACTTTTAAAAGAATAAAGTAGATTTACATATTCTTACTTAGAAATTTATCTATGATTATAGAGTTCTTGTAGGTCAATGTACATTAATAAAATTCTTATTTATATTTTTAAAATATTTATTTTATATATCTATTGAAAATCTGAAAGGATATAAAAAAAATTAACAGAGGTTATCTCTGGGATAAGAGATTCCTAGAGGATTTTTACTTTCTGCTTTTTATATTTCTATATAGTTGAATCATCCTATCATAACAAAATTCACACTATATTTATAAGCATACAATATTCAGAACATTCACCATTATTTCTAATAACTGGTTGTAAAACCAATATGGCATAATGATGAATGTCAAAAGTGTGAGCTCTACATATGACTGCCAGAATTCACATCCTTGCTTTGCCATTATTAGCTGCGCAGCTAATAATTTTGACAAATTATTTTCAAAAGGTTAAAAATGAGTGAGGAGAAGCAGAAGGGGAGAGTAGAAAGATGACTTTATTGTTTTGTCTATAATTTTCAAATTCCAATAGAGTAAGGAGTCAGCAAACTAGAACCAACAGGCCAAATCTGGTCAACCGCCTGTTTCAAAAGTACAGGTTTTTTCTTTATTTTTGTACTGTCTACATCAAACTAAAAAGTTTTTGCACACAAAGGAATCCATCAATAACACAAAGACAACCTAATGAATGGAAGAACATATTCATAAGGAGTTGATATCCAATATTTATAAAGAATTCACACAACTCACCATAAAACAAACAAATAACAACAATCCAATTAAAAAATGAGCAAAGAACTGAATAGACACTTCTTCAAAGAGGACATATAGATGGCCAAGAGACATATGAAAAGATGTTCAAAGTCACTCATCTTCAGAGAAATGCAAATTAACACTCCGGTGTGGGGTGAATTTCCCGCCAAAATATAAGATGGCTCTGTCTTTTGGTTTTGTTCCATCCACCAAAAGGGTGGATTACAAACAAATATTTGGTAATACGCAGTTACAATCGGCCCGAGTTTACACGTTTCCCGCACTCCACCGCAAATCTATATGAACCGAGTTAAAGACGGCTCCCGCGGAGTACGCGCAATTCACGCGAGCCGACTTAACTCGTTTCCCCAACTCCAAGTGTTAAAACCACACTAAGTTATCACCTCACACCTGCCAGATGGCTACCATCAATAAATCAACAAACAACAAGTGTTGGCGAGGACGTGGAGAAAAGGGAACACTTGTGCATTGTTGGTGGGAATGCAGACTGGTGTAGCTACTAGGAAAAACAATATAGAGGGTTGTCAACAAACTAAAAATGTTACTGCCTTATGACCCAGTGATTCCACTTCTGGGTATATATCCGAAGAAATCCAAACACTAATTCTCCTCACTCATTTCTAACCTGTGTCCATCACTGCAGTGTTATTTACAATAGCCAAGATATGGAAACAACCCAAGGGCCTGTCAATAGACAATTGTATAAAATGTTGTGGTACATATATACAATGGAATACTACTTGGCCATAAAAAATGAAATTATTACCATTTTCAACAGTAAGGATGGTCCTAGAGGGTATTATACTAAGTGAAATAAGTCAGTGAGAGCAAGACAAACACCATATGATTTCACTTATATATAGAATCTAAAGAAAAAAGTAAATAAACATACAATATAGAAACAGACTCAAAGATGCAGAGAACAGACTGATGGTTGCCAGAGAGGAGAGGGGTTAGGGGGCCGGGTGAGAAAGGGGAAGAGATTAAGAAGTACAAACTGATAGTTATGTTTTCATAATAAATTCTGAACCATTATTTCATTCATATAAGTTCAGTTGATAAAAACTGAAATGTTCAATATAGTAAGGTCTTATCCTGTTATGTTTGTATGGTTCTACAGTTCAGTTTCTTGTTGCTGTTTAATATTATTGTTCCTTGCTAACAAAGCAAAATATTTGATAACTTCACAAGATTTAATGCTTAGAAGAAAAATCATAAAATGATACAGAGCAAGTCTAGAAAAAAATAAAATGTAATTATGGCAGACCAAAGTGAAAACACATGGTGAAGAGAGAAATCAAAATATCAGAAAGAAATAATTTATAGCCTTTCCAACTATGATTCCTTGGCTGGTAAACTCAACTATAAAGTACACATTTAAAACCATAATTCACTTTATTTAAAGGGTAATGAGGTACCCATGACAGTTCTTTTGCTTTAACACACTTAAGCCATTTGCAACAACATAATCAGTTCCTAAATTAGAACACAGAAGACCAAAACACTTTGTATCTCTTAAAACATCCACTAGATATCCTTGGGTAACTTTAATGTCACTTATGAGCTGAAATGGGGAACCTACCAAATTGTAAGAGACATGAGAAAGTAACAGATACCACTATATTCGCTACTTATGTATTTCTATGTTATTTATCGATTATTCTAGTACTTACCAGTATCTATTAATAACTTATAGAAGTGTATGTTCTTTCTAGCAATAGACACAATAAGCTTTTTAGTACTAATGATCCATTTATATGAAGAAGGCCTATTGATAAGGATAACATGCTCTCTTTAATACTGACGACCCACTAAATAAAGAGCAAATCCTACTTATCCCTTTAAAAAAAAGTAGATCATAAAAATAAATGGTTTGGAAAATTTCCAATTCAGATATAGACTCACATTTATATCACACCAACTAAAAAAGCCTAAGCTTTAAGAAGCTGACTTTTTTTTTTTTTTACTGTTCCTTACAATTGGGATCCTGAGGTAGGTATCTACTTGCTTATTTTAGCAATCTAAGAAAGGGAAGTCAACACTGGAGTAGAAGAGTATAAATTTAAGTATTTGTCCTACTCTACCTCAAATTCCAGAATAATCACAACCTCACCACTAAAAGTAGGTGTTCAGTCTAATACTGGATAACCACAAGAAATTTCTAACTCTAAATTTCTATGAATAGTACAAACAGCTAATATGAAGAAATATCCCTTCTTTAACTAATTTGTTTTACAGCACTCCTAACTAAAAAAGAGAAATATTGCAGTATTTTTTATTTTATCTTGAACTGAGGTTAATTAGTTTTGGTATAAAGAAAATGATCCAGGAATTTCTAGGACTGAGCAAAGCCTAACTCTTAATTTCTGTGAGACACAGCTCCTTCTATTACTGAAAAATAAGATGACCTGAGCATTTTATGCCAAATCATCAACACCTCATTTCTCATATATCTTCCCAAACATTTACTTCATTTTTTAAAACTACCAAGTTCATCCTATTGTTTCTAAGTTTAAATAAAAATCAGAAAGATTTGGACTTACAAGCTGTATTAAAATGAACTTAATGTTCTGGCTCCATAATACATATATCTATATGACATCATTCTAGAAGGCCTGAAATACAGTGACTGGAATTTAAATAGAAATGTAATAACTATCTATAATTCCAACACATCCTAAATCTGCCAATTAAACTATGTTTAATCTTAGTGTTTCCACCCAAATCAAGTTTATCCTGAAAATAATGTAACCCATGCCATTAGTTATACCTATCACCTTAAAAAAAGCAGATTTCTTTTTACATATATTTTTAAATTTACATATCTTATACATTGAGCATTTGAACATATTCTTTATTCACATATTTTCTAAGACAGATTTAAGATCATCATATTACTTAGCATTTCTAAAGTATATACATTAAGCCCTGGCCAGTGTTGCTCAGTTGGCTGGTTGATGGCCCGTGCACTAAAGGGTTACTGGTTCGATTCCCGGTCAGGGCATCTGCTTGGGTTGTGGGCTCAATCCCTGGTAGGGGGCATGCAGGAGGCAGCCAATGGATGTTCCGCTTTGACACATCAATGATTCTCTCTCCCTCTCCATTCCTCTGTCCAAAAATCAATAAAAAATTCTTAAAGTATATACATCAAAATGTGAATAAATGTCACATCAAACCATAGTTGAGGCAATATCACTAAATTTTTTAAAAGAAGAAAATTACACAAGTTTAAAAGACTAACTAAGGGTTTTATTGTCAGTCTATAAATCAAAATCTAAATATCATCTCTTCAATAAAACTAGATATTTAAGGTATCCCTGCTCCCTAGATTTTTTCTTTTTATGCAAGAAGGGAGTCATTTGTTGTTAGAGAAAAACATAATATTTAATAGAACAATAAAAGAGAACTTTGCATTTACTGAAAACTTTATATCTTAACAATTACCTTTTCTGTAATAGGGAAGAGAAGTAATACTGCACACACTGGTCTTGGTACCATGCTAAGGAGTTCAGGATCCATTCCATATACATCGACAAATTGCCATTTAGGATGCAGGCCTAATTGTTTGAGAAACTGGTAAAAGAGGGAAAAAAATATATATGTATATATAGTGTTAATAAGGAAATAATCAACATGTAAATACTGTGTATCCATATACTAGTATATAAAAGCCTAAGCACCATTACAACCAAACAACCTGAACAACGGGTCAACCAGTCGCTATGACGCACACTGACCACCAGGGGGAAGATGCTCAATGCAATAGCTGCCCCTGGTGGTCAGTGCACTCCCACAGCCAACCTCCTGCGGATCCTCCCCAACCGGCACTGGCTGGCCGGCCAACCTCCCGCAGCCCCTTCCCCTGCCCGGCCAACCTCCTGTGGCCCCTACTCTCGGCTGGCCGCCCCCCCCCCCATCAGCCCAGATTGGAGGGGGCCAGCCAGCCAACCTCTCAAGGCCCCTTCCTCCCCCAGCCGGCCAACCTCCTGCGGCCCCTCACCCCAGCCAGCCGGCCCCCCTGACTGGCTGGCCAACCTCCTGTGGTCCCTCCCCCTTGCTGGCCAGCCCCCAATAGGCCCCAATCACCGGCCAGGCCAAGGGACCCCACCTGTGCATGAATTTGTGCACTGGGCCTTTAGTCTAATACATAAAAGGGAATATAGGGTACAAATATTACTGATATTCAATAAGAATGAAGTAGGTTTCCCATAAATAGGGGATGATACTAAGCACAATGTTTTTCAAAATCCATTACTTTGGGACAGAATATAATAAGCCAGGATTTCACCAAACCCATACAAGTCCTAGTAGATAATTATTTTAGAAGATCAACACAGTTTATTCTACTTGCCTGAAGTTTAAAAATAAATAGGTAGATATCATAAATCATATCAGTAAGTAAAGATTATATAAAGCCAAAAAAGTCCAATGGACTTGTGCGAACAACAGATAATGCTTGATATAAGGAGTACACTACTGGCTTCCTGACCTCTAGTACACAATGAAACCCAGTCAACTGTACCGATTATTATATCTGGCAAAACAACTATAACAAAAGAATAGTGGTTTGTTTTGTTTTTGTTGTTAATCCTCACCCAAGTATATTTTTTTCATTGACTTTTAGGGGGTGGGGAGAGGTTGAGAGTCAGAAACATTGATGTGAGAGAGACACATAGATTGGTTGCCTCCCCCATGTGCCCAGACCAGGCCAGGGATCCAACCTGCAATCAGGTACATGCCCTTCACTGGGAATCGATCCACGACCCTTTGGTGTGCAGGCCAACGCTCTAACCACTGGGAAACACCGGCCAGGGCAAGAATAGTGTTTTTTTTTATTAAGATTTCATAGGAAAATAAAATGCCAGGCCCTAATCTACTGCAGAGAGAAAAAAAGTAAAATGTAATGAGAATTATGTCAATTTCACAAATTCTTAACAAATGTCTATACTGAATAAAGATGATTTTTTAAAGTGTACTATCACAAAATAAGTGTACTATCACAAAATAAGTTTCAGATGACAGAAAAAATGAGAAGAGGAAACAAAAAAATCATGTTAAGAATTCATCATTATACCTTACCTCAAAAATACATTATAGCATCTATTGATCTAACATCATCATCAGTCAGCATGTCTCAGTGGTTGAACGTTGGACCTATGAACCAGGAGGTCACGGTTCCATTCTGAGACAGTGCTCCTGTCTGGGTTGCGGGCTCGGTCCCCAGTAGAAGATGTGCAAGAGGCAGCCGATCAATGGTTCTCTCTCATCATTGATGTTTCTATCTCTCTCTCCCTCTCCCTTCCTCTCTAAATCAATAAAAATATATTTAAAAAAATAAAAAGGTGCCTTAGGTATTTCTCCCTAAAGAATGGTCACATGTTCTTAGTTCATCAGATCAGATCTTGCTAAATCAGCAATTTTCAACCTTTTGCATCTCATAGCACACATAAACTAATTACTAAAATTCTACAGCACCCCAAAAATATATTTTGCTATTCTAACAAAAAATAGGTATAATTTTGATTAAAAAAATAATAACAATAGTAATTACCTAACCTTTTTGCTTCAAAGTGACTTTTAAAAGAATCAGGTGTCTGCCCAACCGATGGGGCTCAATGGTTGAGCATTGACCTATGAACCAGAAGGTCACAGTTCAATTCCAGGTCAGAGCACAGCCTGGGTTGCGGACTCAATCCCTAGTAGGGGACATGCAGGAGGCAGCCGATCAATGATTCTCTCTCATTTTTGATATTTCTATCTCTCCTTCTCCCTTCATCTCTGATTCAATAAAAATGTATTTTAAAAAATCAGGCGTCTGTATTTAGATATAAGTATTTCTGGTAACCAATCAGATGCAACATTATTATGCAACATGACTGATACGATGCAACTTTATTATATGACCTATATATTTATGGTTTAAGACAGGTCATTCACACAGGACGGCCACTGTTGTGTTGGCTATTGTCATTTTCTTATTTCACAATCTAAGGGAAAAGAGGTCAGTGTCCCTGACTCAGTAGTCAGGTATTGCATGTTTTAAAAATTCTTACAACTTACTAGTTGAAAATCTGTGCTAAACTAATGGGAAGTAAGCCATGTCATAAACAGCATTATTAATCTCACACACAGGTATTCCCATCCATTTATCAGCTGTAGGGAGCAGCTCTAGGGTTAAGCCTCAGACTGACCTGTGACAGGGCCACAAACAAGTCCCAGCTTGGAGGGCAGAGCCTCTTAGCTTAATTAAGCTTAACCTTATAGCCCTCCCTAGTTCCTTCCTAGGTAGCTAATAGGCTGTGGGAGGTGCAGCAAGTGCTACCAAAACAAGTGCTGCCAAAACAAGGTGAAACTCACAAGAACATCTTAAACATGTTGACCACTACCCTTGTTTTGATCTCACTATAAAATAAAGCCTGGCTAGCAGGCTGGGTCTTTCTGTGTCCTCATCCAGGCACCGGAGATCCACTGAGCCCCAGTTGTATTCTCTTTGTCTGTCTTCTTTAATCCTTCACCGCCACTCCTCAGGCTCACTGAACTCTTGGCTGTGCTGGCCCGGCACAATCAGCCAGTAGAAGAAACTCTACTTATTGATAACATATTGGTCAAAAATAAGGTCTTAGATATGTGTTTATTTAAATATATATATTTTTTATTGATTTCAGAGAGGAAGGGAGAGGGATAGAGAATCATCCACTGGCTGCCTTCCAGGCCTGTGTCCTGTCCGGGAATCAAACCCAGGACCCTTCAGTCCACAGGCTGACACTCTATCCACTGGCCAAACTGGCTAGGGCTATATTTTGTTTTTATTTGTGTCACATTAAAGAGATAGAAAAGATACATTTGGTTGTTAATCTAAAATCAGGCATTCATTTAATCAACTCCAAATATTACCTGCACAGGACTGACAGTCCTAACCCTGATAAGAGGACTTAAATGTATATGTTAATGTTATGTACCCCTAAAAACCATATTGTAATTAAGTTATAAAACAAGATGGTACCTGTAGCAGGAAATTTCACATCTGTGCTTACAAAGTTAAAGTAACAGTTAAACATTTTAGTGAAAAAAACAGTCTGGACATAACTGGTAAATTAATGTGAAGTAAGCAGTAAACTTACTCCATGTCAGCCAAAGCTAACAAGTATAAAAAGTACCAAGCTCCAAAGGCAGCAGCTGTAGTGACACTGAGTAGTATCAAATTGCAGACACAATTAATGATTAAACAGCCGATTAAATTAAATACAAAAATGAATTAAATACAAAAACTATCAATGAAGTCATAGATTTCCTTTACATGTTACTCATATCGCCAATCAAATGAGATTGATATAAAGTTCAACTAAAGTAATATCTATTAAGTACAGTGGGGCCTTGACCTACGAGTTTAATTCGTTCCGTGATGGAGCTCGTAACTCAAATTATTCATATGTCAAATCATAAAGTGAACAAATGAGACAGGTGATGCTGGGCTGATGTTGTGGCGTTCACTGTGACGTTCCTGCGCCAACTAGCGGTGGGGTATCTGAAGCTGGCTCGTAACCCGAATTTTAGCTCGCATCTCAAAGCAAAAAATTGGCCGAGAGATGGCTCGTATCTCGAAAAACTCGTTAGTCGGGACACTCGTAAGTCAAGGCCCCACTGTATACTGGTTGAATCCTCTGACCCCCACCCTTCCCCCATTGTTACGGGTAAGACTCAAACAGGAAGTCATCAGATGAAAAAAATGAATAAAAGCAGGTATTAATAGTAAATACCTCTGAGAAGTGGAAAAAGAGTGGGGAGGTAAGTCTTCAACTTTTACCTCTTACTTTAAATCTTAAAGGTGTTGTACTTTTATCATTTAAAATAAACCCTTCTGTGGGTTTGATGATTATATGCAAATAGAGAAAAATTAGAAGAAAATTCTCTAAAATATTAACAGCAGTTAGCTTGAATGGTGTGAACTCAACTTTTTATTTTCCAGCATTTTTAAAAAGTGTAATTTGTAATAGCTAAATGCAGCTTCTAAGTTACAAATCAATAGAACTGATACATGTGTATTTTATTGAAATTCACAAAGCTGGAAGAAAACCCAAAAAAAGTCTTAGAACTATACCCTCCAAAAATCTCTCTAGTCTACTCACAGAGAAAAGTATCATATGCATTTGCAAAGCTATCTCTATACAATTAGCATACTGTTTGCATGAAGCCAAATAAAGACTCTTATAACTTCTAAGACCAGTCTTCTGGCTTTTCTAAATACTGGGCAATAGAATAACAAAATATTCTGACTGATTAGCTCACTAAATTTTCACAATGCCTCTAAAATATTGGCCAGTCAAAAAAATTAGTAAATAACAATATCCTTGGTCAACTTATGCTTTTTATTCAATGGCCCAATGATAAACTTTCCACCAGATAAAGAGTATTTAAATTATTTATAATGATTTTTAAGATTATGATGCATCCTAAACCATTTGCGGAGTTTTAATGCACTTCAACTTTACTGCAATGGGAAAGGGAGGTTTTATTATATCCTTTCACCAATAAGAAAACTGAGTTTGAGAGGTTACATGATTTTTCAAGGTCTC